CTCATTTGCCCTCAGGAGTCCCCACTCAGCCTGGAAAGTGTTTTGTTTTTCTTCCTGGTTGCTTTTCACCCATTATTCAACCCCTTAAATGAAGGAAACAACATACCCTGTCATTAGTAGAGGCTCCCTGTGGCTTAGGATTTGTAGAGAAGGACTATGTGCATTTTGAGAAGGCCTGAGTAGCTCCAAGACGCCCCTATGGGAGCTGGGCAAGCAGGCTGGACTCTGCAAACAGACGATGTGGCTACCTGGCAATCTAGGGGTTTGTTTTTCTCCTGTCCTTGTCTATTTCAGCAGATTCAGGGATTGGGAGAGGCTGCTCTGGGCAAAGGTGGCCAGTGTTTAAGCAGATAACACAGCTCTCAGGGCTGAAATGATTGCTCGAGGCAGTAAGTGAGGGCTCTCCTGTCTTGCTGTTATCATTGGATCATCACACACTGTTCCTGAGCCCATCCTGTAGAGCCTATCTAGGAACGTGTTGGAAGCTGGTGACAGTAAAACTCTGGTTTAGATGAGAGTTCTCTGTGAGGGCCCTGGCAGGAAGCTTCTATACATGTCTGGGAGCCCAGGGCCTGGCAGGAGGCCCTCCCAGGCTTGACAAACAAGGCATGGGACTGTCTCCAGGTCCTCTCTGAGCTTCTTCTAGGATGGTCCCCAAGCGTTGGCCAGAAAATGACTTCTGCAAGCATTAAGAGCAGACCTTGTGCCTAGGGTATAGCCAGGAAAGTGACTGGGATGTGTCCAGAGAAGCCAGGAGGACCGGCTGGTGGGCAGCTGGAGAGGAAAAGCCAAGGGCCTCCCTCCAGTCACAGCATGGTAGGGGGTGTGACTCCCAGAGGCCTATCCCCATTTCCTATGATATCACTGGGGGTGGGGCCTGCATGGCAGTTCACATGATGTCACAGGGGAGTCTTCCCCATGATGTCATGGGAGTAAGGTCACAAAGTCATTCTATGTGATATCAGCAAGGGTGGGCTTGCATGATATTCCACATGGTGTCATGGGAGTGGGGCAGAGTCTCTGTGATATTCCATGGAATGTCACTAGGGCAGGCCATTCAGAATTTTGCATTTGATGTGATATCACTGCAGGTGGGGTCTCCACAGCCTTCAGGGTGCTATTACTGGAAGCCAGACCTGCTGAATCTGGCATCGTACATGATGTCATTGGGAGTGGAATCTGAGCCATTGTGGCATCCCAAGTAATGTCCCTGGGGGCGTAGCCTTCCTGACATCACATGGGGGTATTCCAGGGTGGAGCATACCTGACATTCTGTGTGCTCACACTAGGGGCAGGGCCCCCAGACTCTAATATTCTGTGATGTCATCAAGGTGCAGGATTTGGGAACTGGCCCCCACTTTTACCTCCCCTTCTGGAAGGATGAAGCCAACCTCAGAACACTGAGCCCTGCCCCATGTCCCAGCCTTGCTCCTCCAGGCAGGGTGACGGCTCCCTAGTCCATTGTACCCCTGCCATGGTAGCACTAAGCACTCACACTAAGATGTATTGTGAGGGAGCATTTGACCTGCCTGCTGATCTAGCAGTGTCTCTGTGATGGTGCTGAGTCTTAGGTCCTGAGTATCCCCTGCCTCTTGGAGCCTGGGAAGCGCTCTATAGGTTTCCGGGATGCAGGTATTGTAGTAAGCAAGCTGGTGTAACAAACAGCCCCCAAATCTCAATGGCTTAGCATAATGAAAGTTTATTTCTCTCTCATTCATCATCCAATGTGGTGCTTCTTAGTTATTCTCCTCTAAGTAGTGACTCCAGGATCCAGGTCCCTTCCATTAGTGGCTTAGCTATCCTCCTCTGGGTCCTCTGCATCCAGTCAGCCCATAAGCAGAGAGTGCAAGATGGCAAGGATGGCTGCTTGGGGGAAGACCTGGAAGTAGTGTGCACTGCCTCCATCCACATTCCACTAACCAGAGCTAGTCTTAAAACCAGACTCAGATATGACAAACTAGGAAATGTGGTAGCTAAGTACCAGCAAGAAGAATCAGGCTCGGTGAGCAGCAGATACTAGCAACAGTGGATGAAAGATAAAATGGCAGGTGTCTACTAGAGGATGGCAGGTAACTCTTCCCTGGGGACTGGCTCATCCTCAGGCCCACCCTCCTAATGCTCATCTCCCAATCTGCTATTCTCTCAGATCACACCAGGCAGCAAGGCGGCCCAGTCCCAGCTCACCCAGGGTGACCTCGTGGTAGCCATTGATGGTGTCAACACAGATACCATGACCCACTTGGAGGCCCAGAACAAGATCAAGTCTGCCAGCTACAACCTAAGCCTCACACTGCAGAAGTAGGTGGGAGCTCTCCAGAGCAGAGGGGAGGTTGGGATGTGGGCATCAGGGGCCCAAGAGAGGGGCTATCCAGTAGCAGTTGTGTGGCCCCAACCCTGTGATACAAGGCCTCGAAGGGCAGTAAAGACAGCCCCTGGACTAGAGGAAGGACTAGGCCTAAGCCATCGTCAATCACCTCTCATATCTGTGTCTCAATTTACAGATGAGGCTGAGAGGGTGGGTCTAGTTTTCCCAGGAAGCCTCCCAAGGGCCTAGCAGAAGTCGGTGGCCACAAAGTGCCCAAGGGCTATGACTTCTCCATTCTGATCAGGCTCAGTGTCTTTCTGAGGACATCCAACTGACAGGGTGGACAGCGGGTTTTGGCCCCTCTGATCTGGTTCCCCAGTACTCTATTGCTCTCCCCTGGCCATCCCTGATGAGGCAGGAGCTCCTGGCCCCACATGTGACTGTCTTCACTTGGTCTCATTTCTGGTTTTTACAGGTCAAAGCGTCCCATCCCCATCTCCACAACAGCGCCCCCGATCCAGTCCCCTCTGCCAGTAATCCCTCATCAGAAGGTAGGTGCCAATAGTTGATGGCAGGCTCCACTCTCAGCCATGGTTCCTAGGGTACAGGCCCTGCCTGGTCTGCCTGCCTAACTCTTGCCTGGACTACTTGAGGTGAGGTGAGGGACATGGCTGACCCTGGGAGGTGAGGCAGGCCTCAAAGAGAGGTGTTTGAGTCCCCATGAAATACTAAGTGTGGGGTGCCTGCCTGGGTGCCACCACCTCGGGCCTCATGGCTGGCTGGGCTGATGTAATACCGGCTTAGACAGCAGTGTTCTCAGGAAAGGGGACGTCCCAGGCAAGACAAGGACAAGTGTCCAGAAGGCTTTGACTCTCATCCTCCTGAGGTGGGATGGGTGACGGGGGGAAGGGGAGCTGTGGCATGAAAGCTGGAGGCCCCAGATTCAGCTGGTCATCCCAGGAGGGGCTCCTAGGCATGGAGGGGCCTGCTGGCCCTTAGAGTTTCTCCTCTGACCTAGGCTCTGTCCTGCTGATTTCCATTCCTTCTCCCAATTGCATGCCCTATAGCCCAATCAGAAATGCTGGTGGTGGCCAAGCGGCCAGTACAGGAGAGAAGGTGGAGCCCTGGCTGCAGACCTCATCCTGTGCCCCAGGCCCCTTCCCAGTTCCCTCTAAACAGCTCAACCCTGTGGGCCCAGGGCATGGGCGGCCCATCCCACCTCTCCTACAGGAATCTACTCCCCACCTCTCCCTGTATGACCTCATACTTACTCCTGTCTCTTCGGTGAGGCAGAGTGGGCAAGGGGCAGAGTGAAGAGAGGGGAGAGGAGGAGACTGAGGGGTTGGGGTAGGTGACAGATTGGGGAAATAGGCAGAAGGATACTTGGGAGAAATCGCAGAAGTAAACCAAGGGAACCAAGTGTCAGCCGCCTATTTCCTCAGTTTTCCCTCCTGCACCTGCACCCTGCCTGTCCACCACCAGCCGGGGGGAACCCCTTCTCACTTGCCATGTGAGGGCCATAGAACAGAAGGCTGGGCTGTGCCTACCAGGTGCCCCCGCTCAGAGGTGGCTCCCCCCACACCCTGAGACCTACAGCCCTTTTGTTCCAGCCCTTTCTTCCAGTCCTGCAGGCAGGCTGGCTTGGCTTGGCTTTCTGTGTGAAGCTTTGCATTTTGTCCAGGTGGATACCAGCATTGGAGCTCAGAACTGTGTGCTTCCCCTGTTCTTCCTGACAAAACCCTTCTCTTCCAGGTGCCCTGTCTGGCCCCACCTGAGCTCAATGCAGCAGGCTGCAGGCTGCGGAGCTCTCGCACTAACACCTCCGTTTCAGGTCCATGCAGAAACACTTGGACATGTGTGGCCTCTAACCGCTCTCTTCTCTCTCCCTTGCATGACGTCTACCCTGTGCCAGGACCCTGCTCTGGACACGAACGGCAGCCTGGTGGCACCCAGCCCCAACTCCAAGACAAGGGTCGGCCTGGGCACCCCGGAGCTCAGGCAGACCTTTAGCTCTTCCTTCTCCCAGACCTCCGTCTTCTCCTCACACACAGAGGCCTCTGATCTCGGCCCTACACAGGGCAGCCCAGGGGCCCTGGACTCACTCAGCCAGAAAATGCCACTGGGCTCGAGCCAGCCAAGGCAGTATAACAACCCCATTGGCCTGTACTCGGCAGAGACCCTGAGGGAGATGGCTCAGATGTATCAGATGAGCCTCCGAGGGAAAACCTCAGGTGCTGGACTCCCAGGAGGGTAGGTAACGGGTGTACAGCTCTCCACTGGTGGTCTAGGGCCACCTGGGTCCTTGGTGCTCGGTAGAGTCCTGGTCAGGTGGTCAGAGCAAGGAGCTAGCCTCAATCCACCAGCCCTAACCCCATGAGGCAGCTCAGGCTGACAGCCATGAAAACAATGGTCCTACTGACATTTGCCATGAGACAAGTGCATCATTGCTTTATGCAACCACCCTAGAGTGATGTGTCAGATTTTGCAGAGGGGAAAACTGAGGCTCGGAGAAGGTTAAGTTGAGGTCCAAGACAGGACAAAGCTTGCTACCTCCAGGAGCTCTGGGACAAGGGGACAGGCTGGTCCCTACCCCTCTCAGAGCCCTGAGGCAGGAGCAAAGAGGAATTAGAGAGGTGGGAAAGCAAGTTCTCTAACGCTGGGGGTGGTCTGGGAAGGCTGCCCAGAGGTGCGCACATCTAAGCTGGGTGCAGAGAGACTTGGCAATGGTGTGAAGGGAGCAGGCTTGTAGGACTGACCCTGGCTAGGGTGGAGCAGCAAGGAAGCAGGACCCGAGGAAAAGGGCTGTGTAGAACAACCACCCATCCCCCACCCCCTGAGATCTAGCTAGTGGGACTCTGCGAGCATAGGAGTGAAAAGAACCTAGAGCCAGAAGATGTCACAGAGGGGCTCAGGGAAAGGAGCCCTCAAGCAGAGCATATATTAGCTTCTAAGCCCTTCATGTTTTTTATCTCGTTTTAACTTCTCCCATGACCCTAGAGCCGGCTGAGTCAGTGGTTAGGGGTACATGGACATGAGACTGTCCAGATCTCAAGGTTACTGGGAGGACTGAAGGAGACAACACATGGGTAGCACTGAGCTCTGTTCTGGCACACTCAATACGTCCTACCTGTTGTCATTGCCTGAAGTCACACAGCCTGGGTCAGTTGACCCAAGCCCACGCCCTTCCTTTGCCCTTGCCACAGCAGGTAAGATTTTGTGCCCCTTCAGCTCACTGCTGTCCTGGAGATCCCCACCTCCCCCAGTCCTCCAGTTCTTTCTTGGATCCTGAGTGAAGCTGGCCTCGGACATTCCACAGTCTGAGCACCTGGACCCTGGCTTCCCTGGACCGAGGTGGCAGAGACATATACCCCCGGCTTTTCCAGCAAGGAGCTTCTGTCAGAAAACTTAGGAAATGGCAGAGTAGAAATGGCCCCCTTCTCTGCCTTGGATAGTCTGATAGCTCTTTCTTGTCCCCCTGGGACTGGCACCTGACAGGGAAGTCAGTCTCTGGTGGACTGGCAACTCCATGAGGTCCACCTGCAACGAGGGCAATGTCTCCCCTTACCAAGCTCCCAGTCTGGGCTGGGCACCTGCTAACAGTCCATGTGCTTTAACTAACACGACTCTCCCAGCAACTTCAGAGGTGGGCATCATTTTCCCCACTTATAGCTGGGAATAGAAGCCCAGAATCTGTGAGTAATTTGCCCAAGGTCACACAGCTAATGACTGGCAGGACTGGCACTCAGGTCAGCCTGACTCCTCCTTGCAAGGAGACAGGGACCTACCTACCTGCCCAGAGAAGTGAGGGGTCAGCCCCATGCCTGCTTTCCATGACTCCCAAGGTGCCCACACATTGGCACAAGGACTTCTCAGAACCTGACAAGTGTTACTTTATACTTGACACTCAGAGCATCAAGGTCTAACAGTTTCCTCCAAGGGAAGATGTGCTAGAAGAGGGAGCACTTCATCCAAATGAAGGCTGGTGCTGTTGCCACAGGAAGGGTGGAGCCTCTGACTTGGACTAACACCGGTGGCCTCTGTTGAGCTGAGACATTACCTTCGATAAGTGTCTAACTGCTTGAAATCCATCCACTGTACACTTAACCTATGCTGAGGGCTTTACTCTCAGCATTCTATTTTGTCTGCACAACCTGTCTGTGCGGTGGGCACCACCATCTCGATTTTATGAATGGAGAGACAGAGGAGAGACAGGTGGGTAACCTGCCCAGAATCACAGCACTAGGAAGAGGCAGGGTGAGGATTTGAATTCTGTCCTGTCTGGCTCCGAAAGGAAGTTCCTTCCCCTACTCTCCTCTTTGGCAGCTTCTGTCCTCTTGGGAGGCATGGAGAGGAAAAGGTGGGTGCGAGGACAGGGGGTCTGAGCATCCCTGCAGCCCTGTTCTCCTTGTACTCTCTGGGGCTGGCACTGAAGAGCAGTGTCCCTCAAGCCACTAGGTGCCAGGGCTCCTGGGCTGGTCTTACATCTTTGGGTCATCCTCCCCAAGACCTGGGTGCTGCCTCTTCTTTGAGCTGTCTGCTGCAGGCATCCTAGCCTCCAGGTCTTCAGGAGGAAGCTAAGCAGGGGACAGGAATCAATGCCAAAGAAGGAGCTGGCTGCCCAGGCAGGGCAGGCCAGAGGCAGTCCCAGAGGTCAACACTGCCCTCTCTAGGGTACATGGCTGGTCAGGGCAAGAGCTGACTCTGCAGCTGTCAGGACTGGCCAAAAATGGAGAAGGAATGGAAGATCTGTGCTGGCCCTTTCCTAATATAGCTTCTCTCGCAGCTATTTTGAGCCTGGGAGGACAGAGGAAATTATATCAGCTCTGAGACGGGCCTGGAGCTGAGATGGGCCACTGTGAGGCTACCTGGAGCTTGGGGGCCCTTGGCTTTGGCCTGGTTCCCAAAAGTCCTGGACAAAAGATGACCAGGGTCAGGCCAGCTGGGATACAGGCTCCCAGTCAGAACCCATGGTAGTCATATCTGAGAAGGTGGCAGAGTTTGGGGGCAAAGATGCTACCTTCTGCGTTCTTCCCCCCTCAGGTTTCTGACAGGGCCATAGCAGCTGCCAGGATCTGCTGCTGCAAGGAATTTGCATTTAAGAAGATATAATGCAGGCAATACCTCCACTATGGAGATGGTGCTCCAGAAGGCATGTTCTCAGATAAGAGCAAGGGTGGGGTTTCTCTTGCAGTGTCCAAGATGGGCTGCCCTGGCTGAGAGCTTTCTTGCAATAAACCTCAGACTCACACTTCTTTGTTGCCTATCCACAGGGCCTTTAGGACTGGTCACCAGGGAGTGCACAGACCCCCTATCCCCTGTGCCCCAGAAGGTGTAACCACAGCTGCCTGCCCCTCCTCCGAGAGGGAGAGCGGGTCTTGTGGGCTGTGGGTAAGCCGGCCACACATACACACCCAGCACCACTGCAACTCCTGCTCAGGTTGCAGAACTCTCAGAGCTGCCCCCATTAAACAGGGATAAGTGCAGAGCTGCTGTCTGGCCAGGAGGTACTTAGGGGCAGCCGTAGCTGGTCCTGTCTCCATCTCCAGCTTCTTCTCCTAGAGTCTACAGCTAGGTTGTATGTGGGGGATTCATATACATGAGTGTCCATAAAGATGGACAAACAAACCTTTCTTCCTAGCCAAACTTTGGGTACTGGGGACCTACCGAGGGGGAATCGCTGCTGTAGGCATCTCTGACCCAAACCAAGAGACCATGACCCAATTCCGAACTCTTCACCTCCTTACTATGCACTCTCCTCAACCAGCGCCTGACTCGGCTGCCTCTGCCTCCACAATGGCCAGTCTGAGGACAGTCCCCCTAGCAGGAGCCTCACTCTGATAGCCCTGTCTTCTTTCTCTCCTCCTCAGGTGGTAGCCAACTCTCCAGCCAAGTTAGTATCCAAGGAAAGCATGTGTGTGTGCTTGCGTGCATATTCTAGCATGCGTCTGTGTGTCTGTCCATCTGGACAGTGTGTGCCTGTCAGCATGTGTACGTGCGTGTGCATGTGTGAAAGGGGGTGCATTTGCGTTCCTGAGTGAGCCTGCATGTGTGTGAAGCTGCGAATATGGAGTGGAGGAGTTGGGGAGGGATCCTAGGCCTCTATCTGATACCCTCGCCATTCCGTTGTTTCCCAATTTCCTGCTGCAGCTGCTTAACACCAGCAGGCTGGCTCTGGTGGGAGGTGGGTGGAATGCTGTGCTGACGCGGGGTTCTGTGTGAACCTGAAGACATTTCTGTCCTTGTGGGACCCCTCAGAAGGGCCGTGCCTAACCTCATCTTTGTCCCGGTGAGCACACCTGCCTGTTGGAGGGGAAAGCCCCGATGGGTAGAGACTGATGGGCCACAAAGCAAGTTGGACATGATGGGGCCTGAGCAGCCTGAGCCCTGCTGGGTGGAAGAAACACATGCACTGAAGCATCTGGAGGAGCAGAACCCCCCAGCCACGGGGGCAGACTATAGGATGAGCCCCTTGGTTGAGGAACGAATCTCAAAATCCCAGTAGGGTTGCTTTTCGCCTTTTGTGCGTCCTGGACTCCGTTTGGGCTGCTGCTGCCTGTCACGTGTAACCCAGCTCCTGTACCCCCAACCCCACTCCCCAACCCTTTTTGACTCTGCTTCCCAGTTGGTGTGGTGAGAGAGCTTTCAATGCCTGACGCCCCCTGCTGATCCTGGACGGTAGCTCAGGCTGAGCCGGGGCCTCCAGGGATCTGGAAAAGCCCAGACGGGCATGAAAAACCTGCAAAGGGCTTTGGGGAGGGTGCCGAGGATTTTCCTGACCAGACCCAGCCCAGCCACAGTTGGGGGGGCCTGGGATCAGACTTTGGGAGATCTCCCTCGACACCCTCCGCCACCAGCCCCCCATGTAATATCACCTGTTGCCCTTTTCTCCTTCCACTTCCCTCCTCGCTACTCCCTCTGCTCCCCCTGCTCCCCTCCCCCAGCGCCGATTACCAGGAACGCTTCAACCCCAACGCCCTGAAGGACTCGGCCCTGTCCACCCACAAGCCCATCGAGGTGAAGGGGCTGGGCGGCAAGGCCACCATCATCCATGCGCAGTATAACACGCCCATCAGCATGTACTCCCAAGACGCCATCATGGACGCCATCGCTGGGCAGGCCCAGGCCCAGGGCAGTGACTTCAGTGGGTAAGCGTCTTCCTTCATCCTCGGTTGCTCACGGCTCACCAACTCCGCCACCAGCCCGGCCTCATCCCCCGCGGAGGCTGAGGGCACCAGGCCGCTGGGCTACATCAGAGACTTAAGGCATCGGAACCCCCTTTCTTCCCTCGCCTTCAGCCTCCTGGGAACGAGCCAGCCTCTGTCCATACCTTCCAGAACATAATGTTCTCTCTTCAGAATCAAACGCATGGTCAGCTTTGGGTGAAGGGTGGAGAAATGCGGAATATGGTGTTTCCTCCAAGTGCCTGTCAGAGCCTCTGCATTTTCCCCCTTGCTCCATGCTGGGAATGGTTTAAAAAGAGACTTCTGAAATCCTGTTATGGGGGTAGAGCGGGGTGGTATTCTGGATATCGCAGTCTTCTCATAAGCCTTTCTTTGGGGGGAAGTTCCTGCGTTCTTCCACTGATGAGAGCAATTCAAATTTGTGACTGGGTTTCTTGTTTGGGAAGGGGGCTCCAGAGCAACCATCCAGGGTGCTGTTGGCATTTACCCCACTTTAGAACCTGGGGTGCTGCCAAAGACTAGGCACTCACCTCCTCCTGTTTGCCCCCAGGGCAGTGGGACCGAGGACATCCTTGGTTTCTGGAATTTGCCTGTTATAGAGAGGACTAAA